CACAAGCTTGCGCTCTATAAACCTGAGCATGTACCTGTTACGTGATCAGAATTCAGTCTCCCAAATTGGCTGGCCAGTAGGTAAAGGAGGTTATAACCACAGAGGCTTAATCAGAAAAAAATATACACATATTGCCTCTATTCATCCATTTAAAGCAGCGATCTGTGTTTGCAATTATGTAAAGCGGACAGCACTTCATACAGAACACATACTGGAGAGTTTGTGCATTTACACATATGAAAACGTAAACAAGCTAGATTTGCCCTTACAATATAAGAAGTCACAACTGCCAGCTACTCTCCTTCAGGCTCATGCAGCCCACAGCATTGCAAAGTGTACATATGATTTTTGTCCCAGGTAGTACAAAACTAGCTCGATTTACTGGCAATGTGGTGAGAAGCACTTAGGAATCTCAGAGCTACTCATACTTTTTATAGTACGCCACATTTGTAGTACGCTCACGGAGTTAGCTTTCACATCTACTACAAGTAGAACCAGCAACAGCTTTTGGCTCAGGTAAGCTATTCTAAGAGCAGTTGCTGGTCTTCAATAGCTATTCGCTCTTTCCTTCTGCTTGTGCATCACACTGATTTCTGGCTCCGCAACATAGAAGTGTCCAGTCCTTCTTCAACAGTTTTTCTCCTTGAAATGTAGTACACTTTATTCTTGTTCTTAAAAGTTGAGGAAGAGCAAAAAGACAAAAACAAAGGAAGTCCAGGTGTTGTTACTGTATTGTACATAAGGGTCATAATCCGCCCCGTTCCCGCCCTTTTGAGATATCTTTTTCTTTCTGTCCCTCAAAAGATACAAGGTTTTTTCCTCTCAGATCCATTTTCATGTGGTACATGTTTGCCAGACCAGTGACACTGGTAAATGTACTTGGAAGCTGATGCAGAAGTTCAGTGAAGGCTGTGGTAGATATAGGAACGCTGTTGATGAGATTAAACGATCAGTACAACATTCCCTCTGTGCTTTTGGCAGGAAGCAGGCACTGGTTCAATTGAGAAAAAGAAAGGCATAGCTGTGTTACTGTCACTGTAACTTCCCACTAAACGGTATGCTCATTGGATTTTATTCCAGGGCAGATGGGGATCTTACTCCGAGATGGGGCAGATGGGCAGGAGGGGTATAGGGGCTGTGCAGCCCAGGACACATGGCAGAGCATAAAGGCACTCACAGGCACTCCAGCGACAATTCACATCCCAACTGCATCCACATGAGTCCACGTGGTGATCTCCGTATATTGATCTCCACTAAAGAAAGAATTGAGTAATTTAAATGACATTATAGGATGATTAGCCATTAACCATTGGCTAATTTGGCCCTGTGCAAATTTGAAGAAGCTCTTGAAGAGACTACCCAGGTGGCTCTGCATGCTGGAAAAACAGGCATTTCCACACACCAGAATGAAGTGCCTTAGACTCAGCATTTTACAATCTTGAACAGCAAGATGCTGAGCAAAGTACATAGCTGCAATAGCTTTAGCAAATATATATATAACCTAGGAAAAGATTATAATTTAACCCTACAGAATCTTTTTAATGGCCATAATAGCTAGGGGAAGATTTTCATTGTCATGGCTGGTCAAATCATTCATTTGACATCTTCAGTTCACTGAGAATAAATGGAGAATTTATGGAGATTCCCTTAAAAAATGTCATACACTCCCAAAAGAGCCTAGCCAGGACCATATGAAAATAGTGGTCTGTGGTAACGTTTTTTGCTATCAGAAATATTTGCGTCATGTTGTAGATTTACTGTGTATCTCTTAGTGTAAGAAGGGGACAAAAGATAAATTTCTTACCTAAACCATCTAATCATTTTGCTAACAAAGAAATTGACCTTTAAAAACATTGATCTCATGGCAAGTTCCAAGCATCTTTCAGCAATAGGAAAGGTTAAGGCAACAGGGCTGGCACCAGGTTATTCAGGGAGCTTTGGGCACGCATTGATTTGGGGTTTTTTTTTGCAATCACTTGTCTAGACTGATGGATTAGTATGTAGACATGAATATATATTAAATTTGAAGAAGAGAAGATTGGTTTAGAGGGATGACAGGGCCTATAGGGGTAGCTAATGAAGTAGTACCTCATAGTGATCAGTGCCCAGTGACTTTGGAGTTTAAACACTTCAGACCAAATGCCTGTTGAGGTGAGCAGGTGCCAGGTGAATTCATACATTACAAATGCCCCAAAGCAACAATCATCTATTCAGATGTTTCTTTTTTTTTCAGACTTTGGGCTATGTCCCAAGATGCTCACCACACATAACCTTGAAATGATCAAAACCTGTGATTTTATACCTGAAGCCCAACCCAACCCATCTGTCTTTTAAATTGTTTGTTAACAGTTTACATTTCCTCCTCTTCAAATTAACTGGATTTGGTATAGGATACAAGATAAGAATGATTTTCTTATTTTTCTGTTTAAGATCAGTAATGTTTCTTTGTTTCCCATTAAAACAGCCAGTGTTAGTCCTATGAATAAAGAAATTTGAGAATGATCATTAAAACTCTAAATACAAACATACTCCTTATAGAAAACCAAAATGGGCTGCAGGCTGACAAACATGCGCACATCACACACACCTGAAATGCCATTATTTTTTAATGCAATTCTTTACAAATTGAAATTCAAGATCAAACATGAACCTCCCTGAGCACATTTTTTAATTAGAAAAGTATTATCCCTGGCTTTGCAGAGAGGGAAAATGTTACATAATTAGCAAGTAGTGAAATCAATGGAAAATCTCTCGCTGGCTTCAGCAGTTACTGCATTGAGCACTCGCTGATGTGCTAAAGCTCTGCTACAGCATCTCAGTGGCAAACTCCTGAAGTAAAAATCAGAGTTCTTGACTGTAGTTCAGAAAATTCAGGCAAACTTCTCCGAGAGGTAAATCTCAGGTCTTTTCCTATAAATCCCTATTGAATGTTACTCCAGGAAGGTGAAAGAAGGTGTCACATTCAGGTCTCTATACTATAGAAAGGATTTTTTCAGAGCTCAGGAATTCATTAATTCTTTGGAAAGTGCTAGGAAAATCTATCCGGATTACTGAATGGCTTACCATCTATCAGCCCCTTTCACTCCAGTCTCACAGGAGAAGCTTACAAGTTTTTATGGTCAAAGTCAGATATTCCAGCCTGTCTGAGCATTTTGTCATGTAGAGGCAGTTGCCTTTCTAAATAAAATCAAATAGAAGGGAATGGAGCAGAGAATAAGAAGCTTATCTATGTAAAACAAGCATAAATATGTGAGACTACATGGAAGAGAGAGAAAAATACTGTAGCGCAGTTGGAAAAATCCTTGACATAAACAAGAGTATTAGTGGGACATGTTTGTTCTTGACCTGAACACTGTAATGCTTCCAAGCAGGGAACATGCTTTCATTAAAAATAGGTATTAATTTTAATTCTTTAGAGATGAACTTCAACTGATTGGGAATTCAGATAAGCCTTAAAGCATTTACATATTTGAGGATTATCTAAATTTTTCCATAACTGGAGGTCTCATACTTCTTGGCTTCCATAAGGCTGAGGTCACTGTGCACACCAGGGACTTTTTGCTATTCTCTTCTCCGGCCCCTTAATCACCCTGTATGCTGGGTCGTCACCCCTTCTTCTGGGTTTTGTCTGTCCCCTAGCTCCCAAATAACCTTATGCCATCTCTGAATTAGCTATGTAACCCTGCTGTTTCTTCCACACCAGGATTCCTAAATATCTCTTTCTGAGGAGTTTTCAGTGACTCTGTTTACTGTTTTCTTACAGTAGGGCTTTTATGCTATTGCTCTGTGCTAAGGCTCCGTGTTGTGCCGCTTTCCTTGCAGCACGTATCCTTCCAGCAGTCTCTGGGAGCTGCCCTCTTTCCTGCTCTTCATGGCAGCTTCTCTGCCCCTTCAGACGGCCTACTTACTCCTCAGTGCTCAGCCTCCTGTCATTTCACGTTCCCATATTTTTTTTATCTGGGACAAGCTATTCAGTTTATAAGTTTCAGACTCCCGCTGCGCAGAAAAGGTTTAACAAAAATACGCAGACAACAGTCAATCAGCACTTGGATGCTCAGCAGTTACCCATCCCCTTTCTCCTTTGCCCTCCCACAATTACATGTTTTGATTCTCCTCCAAGGGAGAATCATTCTTCCCAACCGGCAATTCCAAAATCCTGAGCCTTCCCATACATTTTACAGACAGCGTTAGCATATTGTGCTAACAGGTTGAGGCTGACAATGGAAGGAGGAAGATCTACCTAGCATTGGTTTCACTAGGCTAGAGTAATTTTAAATCAGGTTCACATGGGATTTTAATAAATTCTGTATAAATTCTAGATGTTCCATGGACTTCAATAAAGACTTTTTTTTTTAACCTTCTCACTGAGTCCACTCGTATCTTAGAACTTACAGAAATAATCTATTTATCTGCAAAATGTGTGAATGGAGATTCACAAACACACAAAGTCTAATTTCCCTTCAAAATGGTGACCCTGCTAATAGTCAAAGGATCCCTATTGAGGCTATGTATGGGATGGTAAGAGTTGAAAAAGACAGCAAATGGAGGACAAGAAAAAATCCCTCATCTTTGGGGTTAGAATTTTCCATGCTCCTTATTCACTTTAAAAACCAGCTGCCAAAATGTCAATGTTATAAAAGAGGAAAGTAAAATAGATGATAATATGGACAGCTGAAATGTACTATCCCTGTAGACCTGATTTTTCAGAAACATCTACCTTGCAGCAAAACCTAGGAAAAACAATTATTTTTTGAAGTCATTCTCCCATAGAAGAGCAATTTCGCATGCAGGCATTAGCTCCTTGGCATTATTTCCTTGCAGAACAGCTGATAGCAAATGACAGGACAGTCTACTTGTACTAGAATACAGATAATTTCTCTTCCTAACATACAAAGCAGTACTTATTCCAAGAAATATTTACAAACAATGAGAGCAAAATAATGAAGTAAAGTGTCGATGCACAGATCTAAGAGCAGTATTTACCTTTCCAAGATCTGAATACAACCCCCAAGCACTAGACTGCAGCATGATTTGTTACTGCTGGGCACCTTGCATTGACTTTTATGTGTATGCAAAGCGAGCGTAGAATGCTACCTACGTATCAGCCTGCTTTGCTGTAAGTACAAAGGGCACTTTGATTCCAGTTCAGGAGATTACTGTAATATAGATTTTTTCAAAAACCAACTTTGCCTGAAGAGAACGACTGCATAAAGCAGCCTGAAGGCATGAAAACCACTGGAGAATAGCATACGTGATTTCTCTCTACAACCTTCATCATAATCCTACTCAAGTTAAGAGGCAAAATTGCTTTTTGTTAGAATACTATGAAATCAGTAAAAACTACGTGTGCCAGCTCCTGAGAACAGAAGTGTAGATTCAGGGTTGTTTAGGACATGGGGAGAAGGCAATGCCAAACAGGGTTGTTTCTTTGTCTCTCAACAAGCACAGGGTACAGTATGGACAATTTTTATGTGATGCAGCTGGAGATACCCATCTTCACCACGCCTACACCCCAGTTGACATCTTCCCCCTTCCAACATGGGATGGGGGTGAGTCCACCCCTGAAAAACTTCTTACCTAAATGTACATTTCAGAGCATAACAATAACATTTCCAGTATAATAAGAGTTTGGCAACTAGAACATTAGATAGATGTTAACATAAGCTACCAGTCTATGCTAGTAGCCTTGGCTCCTTCTGAGATACATGGAGCAAGAGAGGACTCATTTCACTTTTCTAAGACTGCTACCTTCCCAAGGGAACAGATCTCTCCAGGTGTTTTCCCAGTGACAATAGGAAACCTCAATGTCTACCTGAAGATCAGGCTAGATGAATCCTTAGGAACCTCTGGTGAGAGGCAGATGTTGTCAGATCCTATCTAAATTAGGTTTCAAAAAGAAACATTGCTCCTTTTCAACAAGCAGGGGAACTGCTTGGGAATCTGTCTCCCAGCATGGACCATTACCACTGCTTGAGCCAGACAATGAACAAACTCCATCACCCATATACCGAGTCTGCATCTATATGTGGCAACTGGTCTTCAGAAAGCATTGAATACATTGAAAAGAAACATGGAGCAGGCACAGAGAAAGCATTGGGGCATTATTGTGAACAACCTGAGGGCAAGGTAAAGAAGATCTCCTAGAACTGGTTGGATTTCTGGGCAAACAAAGGTCATTTACATTATTTTGTGGAGGGCTTTCTACGAGTCTAATCTCCCCAGGCAAGGGTCATGTTTGTGTCCGTTACTTATTCTCTTTGCTCTAGTGATCCTGCAGTCCTTCCATTGACTGCAATGGCAGCGCTATTCATGGACTGACTCTAGGATTGGCCTGTTTACTAAGCAAATAATCAGAATCAGCAGATTTGGAGTCATATGGGCACCCAATAAGCAGCCTGTTTTGTTGTAGGATTGGGTATAAAATCCCAAATCCCCTCAGCTCCTAGCTGCTGGCACCAAGGCTCACTAACAGCAAGCAGAATGGCCTTTCACTCTGTGCTCTTTGTTTTCTTAGCTGGACTGGTATTTTTCTCTGAAGCTGCACCACTGGTGAGTCTCTTTTTATTCAAACTCAATCATTACAAGAATGATAAGCTAGATTCTCTAGATGACTAGCATCCTCCTCATCCATGAAATTCTGTAACCATTAGGCTTTGCTGGAGTGTTATTCTTACCACCATTTTTTAAGAAACTTCTTCAGAACTCTTAAAACTTCTCTTTTTTTTTGCCATTTACCCATCTATTTTAGGATATTGAGGAAGGGTTAGGGATCTATGAGGTGTGACCTTTTATTTCTTTCTGTTTCTGTAAGTTCATGACTCACTTCCCATATCTTCAATATAGAGGTAGCTTTACCTTCTCCACCAAACAAGTGCTTCTATAAAGCAGTAATAGATATTTTTCAACTATCACTAAGGATTCCTTATAGTATAATGAGCTTAAGAAACAAATATTCTTTGAGCCCCAGGGATGTAATAAGTATTTATTTGTTGGCTTCCTAGGCTAACTTACTCTGCCTGCACTTATAAAAATTTACTATTTTCCTATTTGTGACCTCATGAAAAAGGTGTACTTTAGAACACTTTCCCAGGGCCATATGCAACTCAAAATATTTATCAAGCAATCTGTGTGTGTGTGTGTAATAAAGTGATCGGTATAAAGCTCTAAGATACTCTGCTTTTAGAAATAGATGTTTGAGAGCTAGCTTTGCATACCATTTGGCAAAGAACTTGCTTTTAAGTCAGCATTAATTCTGCAATAAGAAACCATCTTTTCTTTGAAAGGAGGCTTTAGCAGGGCTGGTGAACAGCTCCTATTCAAACTCTCCTGCTTTCCCCAAGGTCTCCCATGGCTCTGTTGATTCCAAATGCCCTCTCATGGTGAAAGTGCTGGATGCAGTCAGAGGAAGTCCTGCAGCTAACGTAGCTGTTAAAGTCTTTAAAAAGGCCGCAGATGGAAGCTGGCAGGACTTTGCTACTGGGTAAGTTGCGCGCTTTTATGGAGCCATTTTCAAGGTGCCTCGGGCAAACACTTGAGAAGTAAAGGGAATGGAGCTCTGATCAAAAAAGCAATATGTTTTCCAGTACATCTGTCACACTGTCACTGTTAACAGTACATGAATTCTGGTCTAAAAGCCAACAGATTAATGGGGAACTTAACCATAACTGAAATACATGTTAATTGCAAAAACATGTTGAGATGCTTATCTTATCTTTGTAAAGGAATAGGTTTAATAAATATTTTTTCTCCTAGCATCAGTATTATCTTTCTATAAAAAGAAAAAAAAATTAAAAGCCTATTTACCAGACTTTTGTAGGTAATCCATGCTAACCTACTGTCTTCATATGCAATGGATATAAAGCTTTATTTGCAGCAGTCACACACAAAATCCTCTCTGTAAGCTTTGTCTGTACGCATGAAAATAATAAGCGCGTTAGTCTTCTCCTGTGTAACAAATGTGCCGGTTGGAAGAAACTTTGGAAGAAATTTTAAAGAGCCCTGCAAACAAAAGAGACAGAGAAGCACAATCTCAGCATTTTTCGTGGTCATTTCTATAGATCTCCATGGCTTTTGCTAGAATGACGGCTTAATCCTTACAAAGCATCCTCAGAACATCACTAAGGGGCAGGCAATAATACTATTATCTTCAGTCTGTGGGAAAAGTATGGGTAACAGAGGAATACAGTTTACTAACATTCAAATAGCTGACGTATTCAGGTCTTTAAGTTTCATTGTAACAACTCATTAAATCAGATTTTTAAATAAGTCAAGGGAAATCTCTAGTAACAGCAGAATATTCAAGCACCGAATGACAAGCACAACCATGGACAGGAGCCACCAGAGCATCTAAATGTCTTTTACTAGCATTTTTATAGAATGATTTACATAAAAGCTGCAGAAAGAAACAGAGGAGAAGACTATAAGGACAGAGGTACCTTTCTCTCCATCTGAAGGGTTTCTCAAACCAAAAAAATACTTCTCCCCATTGAAAAGGAACAAGAGAGGTTGGGAGACTGAAGGAGAAACAAACACCTCCACTCCCAAATGCTGAGTGTTAATCTAGAAACAAATGACTCTTGGAATGGATTTATATACTTTAACACAGAGGAACCCCATAACAAAATGACATGTTTTCAGAGGAAGTGGAGGCAAGGATAATGTCTTGTCCTTCGTGAGTATTTCTGCCAGCATTAGGAAACCCTGATTATTTCAAATGTTTCATCAAGTGCTTTTGAACATGTAATATAACTTAGAATTTACAGAGGAATAAGATAAATATAACATCAGTGTTAAATCACTCACTTTTAGGGCATAACAGCGTTTTCTTGTTCAGTTTACAATGCTGCTCTCAGCAAGCCCAAGGAGACAAAGTGACAGTTCTTCTTAGCTAAGTTCTGCTGACATTTAGGTCAGTACACCACTGTGAAAATCAAATCACTTCTTAAATATAAATTGAGAGGATCAACCTTAGGCAAGTGAGAAGCATTTTGCTGGGGGAGGCAGTGGAAGAACATTAAACCACCACTCTTCTTGCAGGTAAAGTTTTTGACCTTTCCCTTTCCCATCTTAACCCAGGCTGTATTCAGCAATACCAGTGACTTTAGCTGATGACACTCGTTTGAACTGTTTTTTCACATGTGGTTGCAATTATTTTGGTTGGGGAAAACCAGAGTTTCTCTGTGCTAAACAAGATGAAAATCTGAATGCAAATAAGGAACACAATCTGTAACTACTCCTGTCAGATCAATAATATTTTTAACTTACAGTACCTAGCAGATGCATATGGAAAAGTTAATTTTGTAGAAATTTTTATAACAGTTATTTTTATACTTTTTTTTGTTTTTGTTTTTGCTTTACTAACACATTTTAGGGAATTAGGCAAACATACCTAGCAACTACTAAATTTGCAATAATAGTATTTAAAAGGCAGGGAGGAAGTTAGCATAGCAACAGCTGACTTTATTGAGGCGTGTTTCAAAATTAGTCTAGCCAAAAATATCCAGAGATAACTGGAGCTGAGACACATTCTGAGACAGGCCTTAGGGCACAGAGACCTGGGAAACATGTGATTTGGGTTCTTTATGAGCTCCTTCCATGACTAGCTTTGACCTTCTCGCTCATCACATGTTTTTGGAAATCTAGGTCTTATCACATAGTTCAAGATTTGCATTCACCAAACATAGTTCTCATGTGATCTATGTTGTAAATAAATAAATAAAATAATAATAAAAAATCCTACTTCAGCATATTTGAAGTGATTCCTCCCACACACTTTTTTTTTTTTTTTAAAAGAAGCTCCAAAATAATAATTCATGTTCCCAAGATATTGCCTCAGCAGTCTGCATCTGAGGGCAGAGTTTATCTCAGTGCAGTATGTGCCCAAGAGTTCATTAAAGTCATTGCACAGTGTAGATTTAACCTGGTCACAATATACAACTAAGGTCCAGACGGTGGAAAAGAGGATCAGGATTGCAGTCTAGGCTGGAGCCATAGTAACTTAACCAGTGGTTTGCAAATTTTTTGCTGGAAAAGCGCAGCTTTTTTAACTTAATTGTCCATCTTATAGCAGATGCTAGCAGTCTACATCCTATTAGGAATAAGCAACCATACTGTATTTATTCCCCTACTCCGACAGACATGCAAGTGCTATTCAGAAGGAATCGCTTGTACAGTTTTGCTACCAGGGCTGAATGCAAGGCATCCTCTGTCTTGTGCTAATCCCATCCAGGTCCTCCAGTAACGCTGAAGGGTTTGCTTGCGAGACCACTTGCACTGAATGGCTATCACTTAACTAAAATTAAGAAAGTGCCATTAACTCCTGGTAGCTGGTGAGAGTCTTCAAGTGAGCTGTTGTTTCCAGTTTCCCAACTGCTCTGGATGGTTAACATCTGCAACTCTGTGTCAACCAATTACAGAAAGCATCATTCAAGCTACATCCACACTTGTCTTAAATTAAAACTTATTTGTTTACCTCAACAAATATTTTGAGACAGACACCATTTTTCCTTTTAATTGGTTTGTGTCTAGACTATCCAACTTATAAGCAGATGTATGTGAACTGCTAACTTGCACTCTAAACACTTCTGCAGAATCTCAGCAATTCTGTTTCACGGTTTCAAGGGCATTCGCCGATGAATTCTTTGTCCTTTTACCTATTGCCGGCGATACAGGTTAAGCCGGGAAGTACTAACTAAATCAAAAGACAACAGATGCAGACACTTCACAAATTGTCTCTGAGCCATGTGTCAAACAAGGCTTGGATTTTCTGCAGGTTTGGTCTACCCTGAGTACCGTTGATATTGATTTCATTTGTATTGGACCAGTGAGACTTCTGTCAGACTTCAAAGTGCTAAAGTTGAAATATAAGAAAAGCTGAAAATTAGCATGGGGTTCTCAATCCTGTTACTTAATTTAAGCAAAAGTTCTGTCATTCAGACTTTTTTGATTCATCACCATTAACCAAAGATGACAAATAAGATGAAGGAGGAGGCAGAGGCTGCAAAAGAAAAGCTGCAGTAGTGCAAGGCCTGTCCAAAGCCAGGTTGGATGGGGCTTTGAGCAACCAGGTCTAGTGGGCGATGTCCTTGCCCATGGCAGGGAGTGTTGGATCTAGATGATCTTTAAGGTCCCTTCCAATTCTACCCACTCTATGATTCTAACTGATTCTGTCTCTGATAAGCAGCGTGTCACTGCTTTCTCCCCTACCTCTCTTACTCCTCAAACTTTTCTGTTTTCTGCCTAGACAGCTACTCCTTGCCATAAGACAGGCAAGTTCCACTAGTTCTTCAAGTTAAGGCTTTCTTCCATTTTTCCTTCAACTATATCATGTGGCTATGAAGTGCTATAAATATCATATAAATATTTTCAGTAGAAAAAACCAACAAACCTTTTTAAAAAAATAAGAAATAAATCAAAGGAGGGAAGAGAGATAAATGCAATTTAGCAGCTAAGTATGTAATTATGCTGTCGTACAAAGCTTGTTCATTTTCAAACAAATAGGGTGCTATGCCAGCTATATTTCCTTCTTGCTCCTGGACTTCATTCACTCATAGTTTTTTCTTACAACCTGAGTACATAATCTCTCTGAGCTGGGAATTTCTATTGCTCATTTACATAGCACCCAGTGGAAAAGGTGCCTGCTCTTTGACCAAGGCATTGTTAATTCAAATTAATAAAATCTTGTAATGCTAAATTGCTATTCCAAGACACTACCACTCAGGGTCACATAGAAATGGATCAGTGTATAGATGTAAAACCTATAGCCTCAGTGCTAATAAGAAGAGAAATTATTTTCCACTAAAATCTCCCTTCTCTTTTTAATTATAATTTGAGATTTGGCACCTTGCCTTTCATCATGACAATCCTTTTCCTAAGCCACTAACATTTGGTTCCAGAGGGCACTTGGTACAAGTTAAACATCATATTAAAAGAGGGGCCTGAACTATAATCCCTGCTGTAGCAACAGAAATGACCAAAAAAAGCCAGCCAGCTTTGATTTGTGACGTACAGGGATGAGTTGGTAGCAAGGACAGGATCTGCAATATGGAAACATACACTACATAGAAGGAGGGAATTATTTCAAGTGATTAGAAGCCATTCAGTGCAGGGTGTGCAGCACCTCTGCTATTAAATATTCCACATTGGCTGTTTCTGTTTAGTATCTAAATGACAGTATAAAATATTTATGTAGATATTTTACCATTACAGGAAAACCACAGAGTATGGGGAGATCCATGAGCTCACAACAGAAGAACAGTTTGTAGAAGGAATATACAGGGTTGAGTTTGACACCAGCTCTTACTGGAAGGGACTTGGCCTTTCCCCATTCCATGAATACGCTGATGTAAGTATTTGCAAATATACCTAATAAGCTATACACTGTGTAGTGACATCAGCTGGAAAGAACAAATACAGTCCTTTAATACTGAAAGAGCAGCATAATTTGGTGAAACGGTTCACTGCCACAAAAGATTGGGTAAATAAAGGCAGTATATAGCCTTTGGCTAAGCCAAAGGAAGTGGTCAACTTCCATGCAAATACTGCCGCAGCTCTACCAAAGTGGAGCTGCGCCCATTCACCCATTCAGAGCAGAAAGGACCTTTGTTCAAAAAGAGCTACATTATTCAAAAGCATGTAGTGTTTAAAAAACAAACAAGAAAAAAAAAGAAAAAGACTGCTTTTATCATTGCAGAAGGAATATAGGGATTTGAAAACCCTCATTTTGTAGGAAACGAGCTCTTCTTTAATCAGAGTAATTTCCCTCATATCAGTCATCTGGAAATCCATGAATTCTTAGTATGACCTGTAATTACAGGACAAAAGGATTCTTTCTGATGTGTTTTTGTTTGTTTTTTAATATTGCTCAGTACTCAAAATATGCAATAGAAAAAGAAAAGGCATAAAAATATAAAGAAATAATCATAATGGGAAAGGAAAAATAGGAAAAGTAGAAATTCAATACCTGAATTTCATAAGCAGGCCAGCAATATAATCATGTCTTGTGCTTCCCTTTGCTCTCAGCCCTGCACTGGTTTATTGTGTGCTCAACTCTATCACATTTACTTAGCACTTCCAAAAATGTTGTTTGAATTCTTCAGGGTTAATCTGCCATTATATTTAAGTTTCCCCAAATTATGTGGTCTGGAATAGCTGCAGGTTGCATTGTAAAATGATTTAAACCGCAACTCTATGAAGCTCTGCGGAAGACCAAAACCAAATGACTTGACCCCAAGTCCCTAAAAGTCTGAGGTGCAGTTTGGGTCATTTAGGTCCAATAAACAATCCTAAAAAAACGTTCCCTAACCATTTGGATGTCTGAAAGTTGCTGGGGCCTGTGCCTACAGAACGGCTTCATCTCAAAAGGTACTTCAAAGCATCTGGTTGAGACTGTTCCAGCTAGGCTGTTGAGGATGATTTTCTTTGATGTAATAGCCTCCAGGTCAACAAATTAGCCTGGGAAGTGGGCAGAGTTCAATGACTGTCTGTGTACAAGGTAACTGAAGCCTACATTCCTCACGTCCCAGCAGCTTAGACTTTGGCAGGACCAGGATGTAGGAGGTCCTCTTGTAGAAAGTATGTCATGGTTAAGAAAATAGATCAATTAGGCTAAAGAGAGCCAAAGAAAGTGGGGGCTTAATCCAGGTGATGACACTTTCCTGGTAATTGTGTATCCCAAGTTCTAGGGACTGATTTAGAGAGGAGCAAATTTGGGTCTCTCCCTGTTTTGGCAAGCCTAGCCGCTCAGTTCTCAATGCAAGAACTGACCCATCACCAGCTGTGTTAAAAAAACGGAGTGAGGCACTGAAGTACAGAAAGCAGATCTGGGCTTCAACTGTCTACCTTGCTTGGACACCTCACACAGAGGTTGTATTTAAGTTCACTAGATGGGATTTCACCACTCTGTCTTTCTTATTGGTTGTTTGAGATACCTCCCCTTCATCCTCCCATTCCACATCACAAACTAGAAATACCCGTGCCTGATTCAGGTGCTCGGTAGCTCCATGTAATTTCACCACAGCTGAGGCTCCTTGCAGATCTGGGTCCAGACCTCACAAATTTCTCAGTTTTCAGTGAGCATCACAAAGAAATGGGGAGCACTACCCTTCAAAAGGGCAAAATCATTGATTGAACAGAACTGGCAAAGCAGTCTACAGAAAATACGGAGTGTGCTTCCTAATTCTTAATAAGGTAGTTTCAAATGTACGTTGTTCATTGTGATCATAAGTTTTCTCTTTTCCAGGTGGTGTTCACTGCTAATGATTCTGGTCACCGCCACTATACCATTGCTGCTCTCCTCAGTCCTTTCTCTTACTCAACCACTGCTGTTGTCAGTGATCCCCAGGAATAAACATTACACAAGCACCCTCCTCCGCTAGAACTATCATAGGCTTTTAGGAGGAAGGTTTTTCCTACTGCTAATGCATAACTTTTTGCTACATTAGTTGTTTTTGGGTTTGTTTTTTTTTCCATTTTGTAACCTGGCAAACTTCAGACAAGTCAATAAAATGTTACTTCTTTAAAATAGTTTTGATTCTATTGGTGAAGTTTTATTGTGTTGCAAGGTGTCATGATGTTCAAGTACAAAGGACATCTGGAAGCCATGCACGGCATATGGAAGCAAATTAGCACTTTGTTTAGTTCTATTATCTTCTTCCATTACCTTAAAAATGCATTTGCTCAAAATAAGAAAGTTACAGAGTTGTGTTACCTTAAAAAATTGACTAAACACATGTACTCAAAAATAAGAAAGTCATCCATGCTACTCATAGTTTACACACAGAAGAGACTGTCCCACTGTCAACTAGGTGACAGGATAAATAGGAGAAATTCTGATTACCTAGCAGCAGAACAAATAATGCAGGAAGATTTTTGAAATATATATATATATATTTACACGCACATATGGAGAGCTGAAAGAGTTAATATCTGTGTCCCCTTACTTAAAACTTCAGGTAAACCTCAACACTTTGTGGCTTCAAGAAAAAAGTTTGCTGCTCGATCAATCTTGGAAGTTCTAAAGCAATTTCAATTAGCACTGTTTTTAATGACGTTGATCTTTAACCCAGTTGGCTACTGTATTCAGATGCATTGCAATTAAATCTCTAATAAGTCAAATCTCTAGCCATTATTAAAAAAAGTCCTAAAATAGAAGCACCATCTTAATAGTTTCTTCATATTTTTAGAAACAGGAAAAGGTAAGCTGTAGACTGACTATGATTCAAATAATGTTGTTGATAAACTGACCAAGGAGTTTGAGGGCTGCAGCAGTGATTTCTGCAGCCTGACGACCTATAGTATCTAAAATATCCTGAAGCAGAGAAATTGTTGTTTAACGGGATTACAGAAACTACAGACTGTTAACTGAAGTCATGCCATTAAGAAACCACCAGCGCTCATCTGCCACTGACCTTGGAGCTTATCTCTACACTCAGAGCCTGCTGGGATGACTGCATACCAAGAGAATTCAAAAGTTACAAAAGGTTGCCTTTAATGTATCACTGTCTGGTTACTTTTTTCCCCTCATTCCTGGACACTACTGTGGTTACACAACTCTTGTAAGCAGTTCAAATAGTTCCAAAACAGCACCCATCTTAAAGCATGAAGATTTCATGGGATATTGCTATTCCTAGAGCTTGAAAAGCAGTAAGTTTGATTTGCAGTGGGGTAAGCCTAGTCCTCGAAACTGGACACAAATATGTTCATACAAGTGTAGTCTTTAAAAACAAAACAAAAAACTGCTCTGCATGTAGTCATCTACCTGAGGACAGGATAAACCTAGTAAGAGAGTGCACATGTGTCTAACCAAAGATCAAAATGACAAAGTTTCATTTCAAGAAATAACTTTTCTCTAAAATGAAGCAGATGCTTCTGGTGGGGGCTGACTTGCAGTCATACAGGGAAAGTCCTGAGCCTGTACTGAATCTAAGGCACAAGTAAAGTGACAGGACTTAAAACACTGTTTCACTGTGCTCCAGAAATGGACATGTAGGTATATAGTTATCGTGCTGGAAACCAAAAGTAACATCTTTTTTCGTCCAGAGGAATGCATAAGATAACTAGATAGCCCACACATTATCCACTTACCTTTTCTCAGAGGTGGGGGCGAGGCCACCACAGAGAGACATCTCATAATACATAAACATGGGTGAGTCAGTTAAGCCAAGCTATAACCACAGTGAAATTCTCACGGATACTGAAATGGCTGAGTTGACAACAAATTTTTATTCCTCTCAACTATGAGATCTATCCAGCACCGTTCTTCAACAAAAAGAGAAAAATAAAACAGAATAGACATTGTTTCCAAGAAACAGATCATAGCAGTTGAGCTAGGCAATATTCACAATATTTCCACAGGCAACGATAGAAGGGACTTTTTTTGCAGACAAGGTTCATGTTTGTATGGGTTACTTATTTTCTCATTGTTTACTAAGTAAATAGTGTGAATTGGCATGTTGAAAGTCATATGGGTTTTCTGATAAGTAGCCTCATTTTAGAGGCCTTGATATAAAAATCACCGATCCCACCAGTTTCTACTTGCTGACGCCGAGACTTCCTAGTAGTAGGCAAAATGGCTTTTCATTCAGTATTTCTTGTTTTCTTAGCTGGCCTGGCATTTTTCTCCGAAGCTACACCACCGGTAAGTGTCTCAAGATTTAGGTTCTTCATACTGATGTAGTCCCAGCTTTTTTTTTTTTTTTTGCCTTTTTTTCATACTTTAATTAGTGTAAATGAAAAATAGAATATTCCATTTTATTGCAATTATTTTGATTTTATGGTATGTATTGACTATAGTTCTCTCCTCCTGCTCTTTTTCTGCTTCTTCTTTCTCCTTCTCTGGTGACTACTGAGAGGCCTTTGTGGTTAGAGAAGCAGCACTTGTCATTAGACTCAGCAACTATGTGAAAAACAATGTAAGAGAAGAAAGGAAAAAAATATCACATTCCCTACAAAAAAAAGCCTTGGGCCTGTTGAAAAGTAACTAACAGGTCTTCTAACACAATGAACAAGCTCCTCTTGTGAGGGATTTGATCTCCCGTCATGAGATCCATGCTGAAGAAATGCCTTCTGTAGTCCTCTCCCTTACTGCTCTACCCCACGCAAGCAAAACGGGATCTCAACACTCATTGATGCAAGCAAAGAACAGAGCCAAAGCCAAGATCCCACCATTCCAGAGGCCTCATTTATTCCAGCAAAGCCAGCTAGAGGCACAGACGCTTCAGCTTGCAATTCTCCTAGAACAGACCTGTCTCTCTTTCTTCCTTCCTACTTGTTCTTCCAGTCAAGCTCTGCTCTTTGGGAAAATGAATACCTGATGAACCTTTGTGAGGAAGCAGACTTTCATTGAGCTCCCCGGGTGGGTGTAAAAGCCTGGAAAATAGGTGGTGCCACTAGAGCCTCCCTTGTCAATGTCTCAAAACAGTAGCGAGGAGCATGCGCATTCCAGAAAGGGAGCCTGAGGAGTTGGGCACAGGCAGTACAGACACATGCTGATATGCTGGTCTGACATAGGGCAGGGTTCCTGGCCGATGGGATGGTTCAGCACATCACAGACTGTAAGAAGGGATGTAAGAAAAGGCTCTTAGTTTTTAGTATCTCCAACACAATTCATTATGCAATGATTAAATGAAGATCAATGATTGCTATTTTGAGCTCATCCCAGATTAGCACCTTCCACAAAGCTCTATTGTCTCACTTTTCACCTACAGAATTAGTTAATGGAAGGTCAAAGCCCTGATTCAGCTCTACCTTTGAATAGGTAAAACATGAGGGCATAAGCATTGCTTGCGATGAAAATGTTGGGAGTGAAACTACAGCCATCCCACCCTTGAAAGGTTTTCCTCTCCGATCTCTGCACAGCTGCCAAGGGCTGACAAATCTGATCCAACATGGTATCAGGAGAGAGTCCCCATGTGGTGCTCATCAAGTTTACAGCAGAATTAAGATAACTCTATGGCAACACAACATCAGAGGCTCTCAAATCCAGAAAGCTGTGCTCGAATTGCCACTTCAAAATCCAGAGGAAGAGTTGCCAGATTTTTAAACATTCCTACTACCTTTGATGATTTAATTATTTCCTGTTGAGGTCACAATTTAGTTACAACTTCATGCTGGAGATGATGTGTAGCTAAGCCATGCCAAAGAGAAAACAGGAATGGCTTCTCACACACAGCCACAGTGCCTCCCCCAGCAAACATGGCTACCCTCCTCCCGACATCTTCCTCCCTAGTTCCATTGGATCCAGCCCGGACAGCTTCAGGCTGTATTTCTTCAGTACACAGCGATTTCATTGAGGAAAATATGGTATATTCTGTAGATCTAAAGAATCATGTTCCTTACTGCTTTATTACACACAATTGCTTGCCTTTCTTACAACATAAAACTTTTCTCTTCCTACCTGAAGGACTCTGATGACTCCAAGCATCCTCTTTTTATAAAAATTCTGGATTCAGTCCGAGGAAGTCCAGCTCAAAATGTTCTACTTAAGTTATATAAAGAAGATGCAGATGGAGCTTGGCAACTGTTAAATTCGAAGTAAGTCATATCAAAATAATGAGTGAAAGAAGAGAAAGGCAATGGGAAGAGGCCAAATAGTTGAAAACAGTTTCATATTCTCTAACAAACACATCTCTCTTACTCAGAGGAAATATACTATTGAATGAATTTGCTGCAAATTGTCTTTTAACTATACTACAATTTCAACTACCAAAATGGTTTTATAATGCTTTATAATTACTGAGAGCACAAGAAAGTATGTGAAACTATCCTTTAATTCAATCATCGTTTCCCTTCAATTTCACTACAAAGGATTGTATTACCTTTTAGTACCCACTAATCAACTGCTGTATTGTTACCAGAAGAACCAGGAAGACCTTTTTAGTTTGAAACTGAGACTCCGGTTGAGAATCCTCCCTTTATTGGCTGTTTTCCTTCTTTCTAACTGCATTTTCATTTCATACAACACTACAGCCTTAAAAAGAAAACAGGGACCTGTTTTGAACACATACCACATCATAATTGATAGTCTTCTTTGCGTCAAGAAAATGGAATCAGCTAAAAAAAGAAAATTTGGGGATAAAGCTTTCTCACCTCCTCCCCCTAAGAGAAGCAATTACATCTTAAAAAAAAAAAAATAATCTCCCAGATATTTAAATGCTGCCATGTCTTTTAAAAAAATATAATTGTAGAATTTCAAATGTAGATTACTTATACTAAAATTGAGGGAATTTCTAATTATCTTAACACTTTAGAAATCCCAAACCAATTTTTACTTGAAGTATAATCTGAAATGAAGTTGAAAAAATTATTGGGGAGTACACAGAATGAACATTCTTTACTCAATAAGCAACATCCCACTTCCACACTTATCTACTCAAGATAGTTGCGAGTCTCACCTGAGACCTTTCCAGGTCTGTTAACAGTATATTCTAGCTTAAAAAGTGAGATAGGGCTCATAAGGGCTAAAGCTGGCATAGTGCAGCAATTTCAATAGTGGGATCCCAGACTCAGACCATTTCTAGAAAGTCCCTGAGAAACTGTACGTAAGTGGTTTTTTGATGTTGTAGAGCCGCAGGCCAGCAGAAGCAACAGTGCTTTTGTATGTCCCTTTGAAAAATACAGCTACAGTTAAGGCCACACGTATTTGTACAAGATGGGGAAGAACAATCTATTCACCTTGTCCTACTTGAATTGCCCCTTAACTGAAAAGATAGCTTCACACATATTCTGTCACTGGGAATGCGTGAAATTTTCCATTTCACTTATCTTCAAATCTGATCTTAGATGTTGACTGAAGCCTTAAAAATATACTTATCATTTGAAACAAAGAACATAGTAACCTTAACGTGAGGTATGCAAAAGTCATGATAACACTAAATCAACTTCTCCAGCCTTGTTAATTTGTAAATAATTGAATGGTAGCAAGAGATTCTGAAATAACTGTTTTCAGTTAAAGATATGTTTGGTTTCAGCTGAGAAAGCTTATTAGCGAAATGAACAGTTATCTAACAATGATCAATCTATGACAAAGAAAAAATAGAGACATTTGAACAGATAAAAAAAAATCTGATAACTGACTACAGAACATCTTGTAAGATACAAGTGGTGTTCTATGACTTCATAGTTCTAAGCTATATTAAAGCACAAATTCTAAGTAACGCACTGGACAATGACATAAAACCCCTTCAATTCTTTATTTTTCTCCGCGTGCAATTTGAATAAAGTATGTTCAGAAAAATATTTGGCAGCTAAAACACCAAACAGTGGTTTGTGACTGCTAAAACCAGGCACTAGCAGCACTGTCAGTTGTGGACAACCTACTCAACCAAAAAACTAGTATTATATAACTTATTTCACAGAAATAGGTTTCATCTAAGAGACATGTTTGAGAGACAGCATTCAATATTGGTTCTGGAGCCCCAACTGGTTGGCGTTCAAAGGTCTATAGTTTCAAGTCAGTACTATGGCCTCGGAGAGCACTGATAGCATCTTTAAATCAAACAAACCCATCTGTTTGTTGAGGATGGAAAACCAACTGATCAATACAGACAACAGGGAATTCCACAGACTACACTGTTGGCTGACCTACCATCATTTCAAATAACAGCTCTCAAATTTCAGATAGCCAACTGTAAAAAATATTCATACTGATAAAGCAACTCAATGCATTTAAATAAATAAGAAAACTATGGAAAAAATCAAGAGAGTTGACCATACTTACTTGCACAGTAAGTGCATCATAGAGCTTCCACATTGCTTACAGTGGTGGTGAAGTTTTCCCTCTGAGTGGGTTCATTTAATTAACTACAAGACTCTGCCAAGAGTCTATGAACAATAATGCCAGCTTCTGGCTCACCCCCAAACCATGCAGAGTAGTGACATGGCAGGCAGCCATCTGCTGTGGCAATCGTGGAAGTAGCAAATGCAAAGATAAGCTCTGAAGCATCCATAATACAGATGGACGTAAGCATTCCAGATCAATAGAAGTATTCATCATATTACTTAAGCTACTCGACATCACTCAAGTTCAATTGCTAAGAACTGCATTTTTCTCATGCTTTTAACCAAAATATAAAAGTGCATTCTTCTGTCGTCACACAGACAAACCGATGACAACGGAGAGTCCCAGGAACTCACAACTAAAGAACACTTTGCAGCAGGGATATACAAGATTGAGCTTGACACAGCCTCGTATTGGAAGAGACTAGGCTTGAATCCTTTCCATCACTATGTTGATGTGAGTATTCATTTTCTCCTGTACTTTAGAATAAAGACACTTTATATGTCGAGGCTTCAATTACTAATTGCATGTTTTGAACTTTCTTTTCACTTTAAAGTATTTTCACATTAACACTTCAAATCCAGTCTCAACGCTTTGTAACAACACACTCATGAGAGAACTTAGTTACTAGGTTCCCCGTAACTCTCACCAAGCTCTTACATGCATTAAAAGGTTTTCTGTCCTCCTACCTTTCTACCTCTACTGCAGCCTGTGATTCTTTCTGCGACTACTTCTAGACACCTGAGGGAGAACAACAGGTGGAGTACTCTTGGGAGTAGGATTTTTCTGCCTCTTGGATCCAGTATTTGTACAACTGCAGGCAAAGTTTATAGCTTAGATTTTTAAAGACAACGGAAGTATGAGCTCTGTTCTGGATGCTTGGATCCTCAGTTTACAAAGTGCAACAGGCCTTTTCAGTTTGCATGGGACAGATAAACTGGTTAGATGAAGGTGGTCCAGACCACCTACCGAGGTCAGCTGCAGAGTCTGGGACTCCTTGTCCCCTTCCCCTCCACAGCATTAGCCCTATCATATGAGCTTTCAGTAGCGGCAGAAGTCCTGAATTCATTGTTGGTGAGACTGCGACAGATCAGTAAGCACCACCAGCTGAACCGTTTGCAACTGCTGCTCAAACAGCCATCCCCATCTCCTTGGAGAACAGGTGGCCAACACCTGGGTTAAATTTTCTTTCTGCCACCCTGAAATTGATGACATCCTTATTCTAGACAATAATGAAGGTTAATGCTGGACAGTCTTGCCTTCTGTGATAGCTGAAATAAGAGGGAAGATGAAAGATCTACAACGTGCAAGTAAACTGATTATATATCAGGATAATGTTTAAGTCTATATTCCGAGCTAGAAATGAATTCAACCCAAAGTGTAAGAGCCTCCTTTCTTAAAAATAAGCCTCAGTTGGGATCATGTTTTGGTCATTTCACTGGTTGTTTCACGTGCATCTTTTTTATTAATGTTGAAAGGAACACATGTTATACATCACAGAATGTTAAACTGCATCTATTTCAAAAATTGAAACCCATTGCCTCACAACACAAAATAATCTGCTATGTATACAGGGAGAAATCAAAGCACAGGACATAAGCTGGTGGGCAAGATGTTAAAAGGGCTGTTGTAAATCATGCATACATAAGGTCATTATCATGTTGCGGCCGAAGAACTAATGCAGTCCTTCTCTATAATCCTACTTACACATCTAGCAGAAAGTCATTGCTTCATATATTGGCCTGATGATAGTTACTGTAGTAACTATCTGGTTGCCATTTATGAGTACAAACAAGGAAACCCCAATTTGGGTAATAAATATATTTGATAAAATTTTAAATATAAATGACCTGTATGATTCTAACAAAGAATACTTAATGAGTGGAAAAACTGTGTGTGACTGGCAGTCATAGATCACACTGATCAAATCACCACAAGAGATATTTCCAAAGTTCTGTGGGAGATTAGATAAAATTATCACAATGGTTCCCATCTAGGCTCATATCTAGAGATCACTTCTAATTTTCTTGTATTTTTTTTTCCTTTTTCCAGGTGGTGTTCACAGCTAATGATAGTGGTTATCGACATTACTCCATTGCTGTTCTCCTCAGTCCCTTTTCTTACTCAATTGCAGCAGTCGTTGGTGACCCAGCGAAATAGAAGCTGAAATTAAGCATGAACATTTAGAAGTGTTTCCACAAATGATAAGGAATTAGGTTTCTGACTGTATCAACAGCTTAAGATTTCATAGTAAATCACAAACAGTAATAATCATTTATTCATTTTGTTAACTTTAGGAAGAATGTGTGTTGACTTTGTTTTCAAATACTCTTCTGAATAAAGTATTCTGTACTGTTCTTCTGAATAAAATGTTAGGGTTTGAAAAAACACATTAAGCTTAGAAAAACTGCATTGAAATTCCATTACTGGGATTCTGAGAATAAACCAGTGTCTTCTATGAAGTTAATAGACTACATTCTTTCTTGCAAAGGAAGTGAACAAAACACATCTGAAAGGTGTCTCATGAAAAGTACGCACCCAGGAAATGCAATCCACCACCCGCCATCTTATTACTAAAGCCCACAATAGATATGTCAAATGGGACTAACTACCCAGGGCCCCACATAATCATCAGATAAAAATCAGAACTGGGAGGCGAGTTTAAGATATAAAGCAAAAGCATCTTAAAAGTGACAGCAAGACAGAAGAGCATTTAAGGATGCTACACATACTTAAAATGCCTTCTTTCCCATATATTATAACTGGTAATAATTTCAAGGAGAGTCCATATCCAGTGTTGTAGAAAACTATATTCAAACATACTTGAAGTTTATTCGTGTAATTTTTACAAAATTCTGCAAATACCTTTGTCCCCAGCTGAAGTACTCCCCAAAATTACTAGCACACAATTATTACAGAAGTGTCCAATGGTTAGAGGTAAGACACAAAGAAAAATAAGGGTAACTGATGTTTCCTGAGAAAACCAGCTCCCTGTTTAATGCCAGGAGAAATACAGCTGAATCTTTCTATTTCCCATTCTTGTGATCCATATATAAGGAAGATTACTCCTAAACAGAAATAAGCATAGAGAAGAGCTATTAGGAGATTCAACAGAATAGCAACCCTATCTTGGAAAAGTACACAAAACTGTTGAGTCATTTAGATTAATATAACCAAAAGCTGAAAGCATGTAAGTAGCAATAAAGGGAAAATGGTTTGTTAGCCTAATGTTCGGTCCCATCACAGCCTCACCTGATGTATTTGCTGGCCAGGTTTCCCTTCCTTTTGTTGTTACTTTGAGGAACTGAGCACTAGAAAAATGAGCACTTTGTCTATAAACAAAACACAAAAAAGATACCTTCTCCACAGAACCTCAGAATAAACAAACCAACACAATCTTTAGAACATTATATTTCATAAAAGACAATGATAAAAAAGTACAAACATTTTCATGAACAACAAAAAAACAAAATTATGATAGTACACAGGAAATTCCCAGCATTTGTTTCAGTGCATTTTTCATTAAGCCTATCTTACATACCTCTACAAATAAAATAATCTTAAGTACACTTTCTCTTGCTGATACGCAATGGATCATTTTAATATTTTTAAATAACTGGCTCATTAGTAACCCACTACAACACAGTCATTAGTAAACATAATGATAGAAAAATAGACTGGCAAGATCCAAGAAAAAGGACATTTTGCACTTGCTTTTCAATATACTGTCTATTGCAAAATGGATTTTGTATTTTATACTCTCCTACTTAAATTTGAAATACAGCAAATGGGCTTAAAAGTATCTTAGTATATCAGCCAGATTCCACTGTTAATATTTCTGTAATGTTTTTACTTGTTAATTCGCAAGACCTTCAGAATCTTGCAAAATACTCCCTTTTTCTTCTCCCTCCATGTTAACTCCTTAAAGAGAAGTCATCCTTAATTTGCCTTGTCAACAAAAAGCCAATGCGATTGGCTTCTCTCTACATTTTACAAGAATCATGAAAATACCAAAAGGAACGTGCACAACTTAGTTCTGCATCAGATTTATTTTGCTTGAAGGCACTGTCTATGTTAAAATTCACTACAGAGTAGTACTGAGTTCAAGCAGGTAGTATACAAACACTATTTTGATGTAATTTAAGATGGCACCTTTTAAAACTTCGCAACAAAGCTATAAAAAGGTATTTAGAGAGGAGTGCTTGTTAACAATTCATAATTTAACATCCATCACTTTGGGGCACCAAAATGTAAACTTTTTAAGAACTCAGCTATATGTCATAATCCATTCACATACTGGCTTAAATCAAATTTTTCTAAGACCACACATGATTAATCACTTAGAGCTGTAAAGTTATATTAGTTCAGCCACAGCATATGTGTAATATAGAACGTATATATGTATGTATATATACATATATATGCATTAGAATTTTCTTAAATTGCACATTAATTTCACAGAATGCCTAACAAATGGGCACAAAAGCATGCTTCAGAAAACAGTACAGACCTACAGTACCAAAGGATGTTTCACAATCATAGGTGTTAAATTGTAGGTAAACTTGTACTGAAAACCAGAAACCACTTCAAAATTACACCAGGGATTTAATAATTTATTCAACAGTTCTTAAAGAATTGTATTAGTCTGTTATGAAATAAGACTAACTTTATTTTGAAGATATAGTTGTTTGTACAGAATATTGATTATCTCCCCTTTATCCATATGCTTCAGAATATTCTATACACTCAGTTATAGAAAAATATATCAGGAGGTGATCAAGCCACTTAATCATGCTTTTGAAGAATGCTTTGTTCACTTTATGCTCACTTTTTGTTATTTTCATTGCACTACGTCATTCCTAAAGCATATTAGCTTAACTGGTAGATTTTAAGGTAATTCCAGTACAGTTTAAAATACCCCTTACAATTGTTCTGAACTACTTAAATTAAATCATTACATTTCTACTAAATATTTGGAATATCTATAACTAAGCTCATAACTTTACTGAAGAATGGCTAAGGGCAAAATTTGCTGCTGGGATGTCAAAGAAACAGAAGACGTTTATGGCAAACAAACTCGGATATACAAAGCACCACACCATCTGTGGCAGCAATTCAGGAAACCAACACACAGTAACAAGTTAAAGTTAGTATTCTTTGTCAACACTCTTACAGAACACTCTATGGATAAACAATCCTTATTATATACTGCTTTCCATTTTCATGGGAGCAGGAGTCAGTCTTTGGTTCCTAAAGAGTTGAGTAACTGCGACGAACAAACCAGTTTAGTAGATCTTGGTCAACATCTTTGCATTAACATAGAAAATAAATGATCGGGTCCTTTTCCTTAGTATTAACAAGGAGTGTAAAAAAAAAAATATTAGGAAAAGATAATAATGCTTAGCAGTGGGATACTTTTAGGTAGCATAACATTACAAGCAAACAGAAAATAAGAAGATATGGTTTTCATTATAAGCCAAGGAAAGAGGCTAGTTACTCATACATATAACACCACAAAAATAGAGAAACAGACAGGACCAATCCTTAGTGGGACTGTGCAACCTCAATCTCATTGAAAGTCATCGACTTGAGGATACTTAGTGCATCATAGAAGCACTCAGCACTCTACTAGAATAGGCCCTTAAATAGCTGTATTGATTAATATATTATGAGTGGAATCTTAAAAAGCACTAGGGATTGGCCTGCTTTCAGTTCCACTTATGCCATCAGCAGCAGCAGCAGAACAGTTTGACCAACACCGCGGTTCTGAAAATCCCACACTGCAAGCATTAGAACTATTAGAACTATGTTTTATTATTTTCTTAAAAATCTAACTTTAATATTCTTCCAATGAAGACACATTTTTGGCTCTTCTGATTTTGGAGGAATAAAAGTGCTGTTTACTAGGATTTTTTTAAAAAAAGAACAATACCAAAATACTGTACGCACCCAGACACATCGTTTTAGGCATTAAAATCCCTGACATTGACACTAGTGGCACACTTGGAAACAGTTAAGAGTTCCTGTAGATCATAATACGCAACAACTGCAAGATTTTCCATAATACACATGCAATATGCATATAAATAGGATTTAGATGGCAGGCAGGTTATCATAGAATTTTGCTGGCAATAAATAAAATTAAAAGCTTTCTCTGTAGCTAGTTCTTATACGAAATTGATTCTTCTATATAGATATGCAGAAGGCCTAGAGCTCAAAACTAGTATAACAGTTTACAGTCATAGCTGGCCAACAATTAATATTTCCTTCATTTCACCTAAGGTATAACCTTTTTTTAAGCATACTTACATTTTACACTTGTTCTTTCATGCTAATAAAAACATTCCTATAGAATTCAAACAAGAACACACTCATATACATACTGAAGCATAAAATACTGAGCAATTTAAAAGCAATGTACACACGTTAATTTACATCACGTATTTACAAAACACATTTTAAAAAGAAACAAAAGCATTCATTTAAATACGAGGGGGGGGGGTTAGTATAAAAAAAAACTCCTGGAAGAAGAGGCCTCTGCCCCTACTTCCAGAGAAGCTACAAGTCTGTTTTCTGCTGTTTTTTTAGCTGAGTGGTTAAGATAGAGAATATGAAGAAGGCTTGAACAGTAGTCTCATGCTGTAAACATCTGAGTGGTAGCTGCTGGCTTTGCTTTCAGAACAAAATGCATGGTACATACAATCACTTCTCATCTCAAATATGCATCACCAAATGGTCAAAAATCTCTAATTCTAAGCTGCTGCTTGTTGGTTTGGTTTTGTTTTACAGTGTCTATTAGTAGCTTCCAGTGTTAAAAGTTTATTCTGGTAGGGTAGCTTGCCATTCCACTTCCATCAATAGTCTCTAACAGGAGCAAGTTCTGGTATGAGATTAACAGTTATATTTTTATACAATTTACTGACAAGTATTTTAGGAGTATATATTAAATTGTTCAACCCATCAATATACTGACGTTCTCTGGAATACCTCAGAAGTTTATATCTGCAGAGGGAGTTGGGAGAAGAAAACATGAGAAAAACTTGCGAGAAACAATTCAATTGACGTTAGACATGATACTGTAACAGTCATTTCATTTCAAAATATGCTTTAAATTCTGAAACTACCTCTCAGCCCGTTGAATTACCAAATTACCTACCTAA